AGGTCACATCAATTAAATAATATAAATTTACCACCCTGAATGCAAAACATGCCTGCATTAGGGACAAATATTGTATATATAAAACACTCCAAAAAGACACATCAGCTCAAGCAATGCATAACTATTGCTTATATGAACACTCCAGGCATCAAAACAGCTTCATATAAATTAAGTTGTTATGGTGCCAGGAGGTCCCAGGAGCATTCTTACCTTCAGTTGTTAAACTGGTTTTGAATAGTTTAACCCCAAAGTTGCCTCCAGCACTGACCTCAGCTCTCCCCCGGCTTTTGAAATTTCAGATTCAAGAAGTGTGGAAATTTCAGATTCAAGAAGTGTGGAGCGTTGCCTGGCAGGGGGTGTCGCTGATTGGCTAAGAGCAGTCAGCCGATGATATCAGCCATTTTGTGACTCCCCAGTCACAAAACTTGCTTGGAAAGAAATGTACCTTTTCCATGCCAGTTTTGTAAATTGGGAGTCACTGACTAGCTAAGAAAGTCAGCTAACCACTCTCAAATTAGTGGCACCTCTGCCCGGTGGCACTCCCCACTTCCTGAATCGGAATCTTTAGAAGCCAGGCTGCCACCAGGGGAGACTTGAGATCGGTACTGAAGGCAACTTCGGGGTTAAACCATTCGAGAACGGTTTCAGCTCTGAACATAAAAAATGCATTGGCACCATGACAACTTCATTTAGATAAAGTTGTTATGATGCCTAAACTGTCCCTGCTGCATGGAGACTGTCTCACTGTTGGCTTAGAGATAAATATACCTTTACTTTACAGTGTTCTTTGGTGAGGAAAGGAGGACCAGGAAGCTAAAACTTCAGTATTATAAATACATGTATTTAAAACATGTCATTGTTACTTTAAGTTTGGAATTTCCCATGCTATTTTTGGAGTCCTCACTAAAATGTCTAACCACCCACGGAATTCTCTACAGATCTTAGTGGAATGTTCTGAGTCGAGATTCCAGTTCCATCATTATGGTATTTTGAGATATGAGGAAGATAAGTTTGGAATATTATCCCCAAGCTTCTGTATATGACTAAATCACACACACACAAAGCCAGTGAAAACATTCCTATAGCTATTCCACAATTAAGAGGTCCTGAACTTTTAATGGCTCATTCTGAAGACATTAAGTTCTACAGAATAGTCTTTAATGTCCTCTTACAATATACAGACAAGTATTAGATCTCAGACATAGCAAAAACCCAAATGTGTGCATTTTATTACATAGAACTGAACAATTCTAGTAAAAACACTGTACATTTGCTAATTAAAGACTTATTCTATTCCAAGTCAAAAAACTTGAATTGTGATCATTTTCTGGAAACTATATGAAAAATGTAATTTGCTCAAAAATGAGAAAAAACTATTGTACGTTTACTGTATGTTTCATAGTGTCGTGTGTTTTATAAAATAATTTGTTTTGTGTTCATTTATTTACTGTAATACATTGCGAAGTAAGCTTTAAAGTCTATTCTTGAATTTCCTAGGGCAGAATACTAGTAATTTATTTTACTGCTGAAAAGAACTACTTCTGTAGAAAATAATGTATTTGTTTTCTGTGCACAGAGTCTAAATCTTTACACTATACATTACATTGTATAGTTCCTATACATTTGTGACCTTTTCACCCACAGGAAATTCCCTGAGCTCTTTCTGAAAAATTGTATTTCCACAAATTTATCACCAAAGATAAAGGCACTGTACTTTAGACACTGGTAGCTGTACTGGTCACATGAGGGAGCTCCTCGTCATACCACCTTGTCATACACCTGCAAATGAATTCAACTATCCTGTGTATTCACAATACACAGACACCTAATACATCATGATTGCTGTTGCAAGTTGAAGAACATTTTCTACTGTTCTCTTATATAAACAAATGGTATTAAAATGTGTGGCTAAGCATTGTAATTAGTAGGATGAAATATCTATAACCTGCATATATTTATGCATGTCCCTTAATGGGACAGTGGGGAGATCAAACTGTCTTTAATGCTAGATAGGGGTAGCCGTAAACCAAAGCAATGCTCTGACATTAAGTGTAAGTATCGGAGCTCTGAGAAAGATACCAGTGGTCTGTGACAGAAGGGGTTACGGACCAGATAGGCAGCCCACTGGACCACTAGGGATCTGAATGTCCCCGCAAGGTAAGCACAGGGAGAGGGAATAATTTTAGTTTTTTTGTTTTTAAATAATTATTAAAATAAAAATAGCAAAGCCCCTACCCCACTCCCTATAAATACACACTGTATGCTCCTATATTATTATTAGTATTTATAGAGCGCCGTCAAATTCCGCAGCACTTTACAATGGGTGGACGAACAGACATGTAGTTATAACCAGACAAGTTGGACATACAGGAACAGAGGGGTTGAGGGCCCTGCTCAATGAGCTTATTAGCAAGAACCAGAATTTTAAATTGAGCTCTATATTTTATAGGAAGCCAATGTAGGGACAGACAGAAGGGTGAGGCATGGGAGGTGCGGGCGGACAGCAAGATGAGCCTCGCCGCCGTATTCATTATGGACTGTAACGGCGCAAGCTGGGAGCACGTAAGACCACTGAGAAGCGGATTACAGTAGTCAAGGCGAGAAAGGACAGTGGAATGGACCAACACCTTAGTCGCAAGTGGCGTTAAGTAGGGGCGGATGCGCGTAATGTTTTTGAGATGGAAATGACAGGATTTGGCGATAGATTGAACATGAGGCTTGGAGAGAGGTCGGAGTCAAAGAGAACACCTAGGCAGCGAGCCTGCGTGGTGGAGCTGATGGTAGCACTGTTGACTTGGAGGGAGACAGACACAGGAGTAACAACACTTGAGGGAGGAAAGACCAGAATTTCAGTTTTGGTCAAGTTTAGTTTAAGGATGTGGGCAGCCATCCAGTTAGAAACAGCAGAGAGGCAGTCAGAGACACTAGTCAAGAGGGACGGGGAGAGATCAGGAGAGGACAGGTAGATTTGCGTGTCATCTGCATAGAAATGATATTGGAAGCCAAAGGAGCTTATTAGTTCACCAAGAGAGGCAGTATAGATAAAGAACAGTAGGGGACCAAGGACTGAACCCTGGGGGACACAAACAGAGAGGAGTTGGGGAGAAGAAGCAGAGCCAGAGAAAGAAACACTGAACACACACTACACCCCATACACAGAATACCCCTGCAGATACACCATATATAAACACTTTTCATCCCTGTACATACACTTTTTACCCATTATGCACACATTTTACTCACTGTACATAAACATTATAACCCATACCTATACACATATAGACACACTAGAGCATCTAGATACACACACAATGCAACTCAAATACGCATACACACATTACATCTCAAAGATACACACACTATGCATACTTATAGAGACACCGGAGATAAGAAATAAGTGCAAGTGTACACAAAAAAAAAAAAAAAACAGGAGGGATTCAAAGGAAACCAGAACAAATGCAACATTTTCACTTTCTCTGTGCAAAGCAAAGGGCATTTTCCCCATCTGAGAGTTCTTCAGCAGGGTTCAGCGCATAAACTAACATACTGATACATACTGATATCGGGCGTGTCTCCACACTACAGGGAATGTGGTCTGCCCTTAGCCAGATTTATGGTTATATTTTGTGTATGCTTATTTGCACAATTTTTATATTTTTCTTCATTGGATTCTATAACTTTATCTTGAACGCATGAGCCCATTGTTTACTGTATTATGACATATCCCAGGCTGCTTGAGATTAGTGGGAGCTATACTTCTGGATGGCAGTTGCTTTGTGCAGCTGCCTCCATTTTAATAGCCCTATCTTGATGAAGCATATGAAAAGTATAACTCACACTAATCTGATGCCGGCAGAGGCATGTATATCTTGGCTAACATTAACATAATACTGGTATGTAATATATCTGTACTGCACAGTGGGTAATGTCATCCATGCATTATAAATGCACCTAGTCCGGACTGCCTGAGATTAGTGGGAGCTATGCTACCAGGCGGCAGCTGCAATTTACAGCTTTAGCTATTTTAAAGCAGCCCCCTTGAAAATTAGTATTTCTTAAAGATAGAATCTTTATGAAATACGCATATTGACAGTGTTGGAATTTCACTGAAATACATTGTACAAAGTAGGGACTATTTTTTTCTCTGTATTTTTCCTATGTTTGACACTTTGAGACACTGGGCGGAGCTATCGCTGTCTAAAAGTGTAAATCCCCCCCAGCCATCACTATGCTTGAGAGAACATCAGTGTCGTCTGCTCCTGGTGCTTCAGCTGAAGAGGACCAGCTGTGAGAAGATGGCAGCACACACGAGGGTCATGTTTAAGCAAGTAGAACTCACCTTGGCCTGCCCTACTTGGTCACCGGACCCCAGCAGCAATGTCACAGTCAGTGTCTTTGCCAACTCTGAAAAGTCTCCAGGCGTTGACAGTGCCGCTTTAAATTAACCTTCTACACATAATGATATTCTGGGAGAAGAGCTGAGACAAGAAATCTCTGACTTGCCAACCCCTCTGCCAAAATATTACCATCAGACATTAATGGTGGCAGCTGCAAACAGCAGATGCTGCCTTGTAGTGTAACGCACGTCAAACTGAAGCAAACTTGCCAAGCATGTCCTGGTGCTGTTTTAAGACTAAAGGAACCCTAACTACCCCTGGCCCTTACTATAAAAATATCTAGTAATAGGTTTGTCATTGAGAAGCTTGTATTAAGGAAAATAATGCAAGTTGCTGGGTGGCTTATGAATGTCTCCAGAACCACTAGATATAATTATTTTCCCCTAACAAATACTTTAGCATTATGTATCTTTTCCATTCCCTAATACATACCAGGGCTAAAGGTATGTCTAGATTTATATTCGTAGGCAGCAGCAAATAGCAGCTGCTGTCCATAATTAAATACTTTCCCATCACTGATGTGTCACATCCCATCAATGTCACAAGTTTCTTCATAGGGCCCTATTTAAACCAACAGTCCCGACTTCAGTGGGACAGACCTGATTTCAGTATCCTGTCATGCTGTCTTGATTTTGATCCCTGCTGTCCTGTTTTAGACACACCAGGAAAATGTCCCTAAAAAGTGTAGTTTGAGTGCATCATTAGACGTGCTTGTGCTATACTCGGGGCACTAAGACCATGCGGAAAGTGCTGAAACACTGAAACTGAAACCATGAATCCCAAGTAAGAAGGTAAGAGTCAATTCATTTTTGAATTACCTATTTTAATCTATATACATATAACACTGCAGAGACACTGATACTGAGTTACAGTGAGGGTAAGCAAACAAGAAACATTTCAAATTAGTTCAAAATAGCAGAGCAAAATTTTGCAAGTTGGCTCCAAATTCTGCACAACATGCTGTTATACAGAAATGCTGTTCTGGGTTTTAGAATGTCATATATGAAATTTCCTGTGTTATATTGTTTAAATTGTTTGAAATCCATGCTTTATCAACAAACCAGTCAGGATATGAGAAGCTCTTCACTGATCTAATTAGGAGAGAAATAGCAGATATACAGAATCCTATGGAGATATTGCAGGTGTCATAGCATCTTACAGAAATACAATAGACAAGATAATCCTGAGTTTTATGGAAAATCAATTACTCTTTAGTTTCCCATTCCCAGCGACTGAAACATGATATATTTCATATCACAAATAAGCTGTACTTTTAGTTACCTAGGAAACCAAAACAAGTCACTAAGTGTACAACCACGTACAACCGTGCATTCCGATAAAGCGGGCACATTGTCCGTCTCAAAGGCAGCATTACTATTTCTGTTCCGCTGCCTTTTGCATGAACTGATATTTTTTGCTTTTTTCAGAGCAGTAAGTGTGATCTTTTACAGGCGCAGAGTGTTCGCTGTCTCGCCAGACTGTGTTAGGGTAATTGCTTTACCATTCAGAAATCTGTTTGGAATATTATTTACAGAGTTTGTTAAAATACATATTTAATGCAATAACAGATTTTAAATAACTTTAAATTTCTTTGGAAACAGCCTTTTATGTACGCCACAAACAGATTGTGTCAGTGAAGAAAAACAGAATATGCAGCAGATCCTGTGAATGCCAGGTGCAGCTGAATATTTTTCTTTTGTAAAGTTCTGCCTTTACAGCTGTGGCAGTTCTAAGGTTAAAATTTATATATATATATTTTTTATCCTTAACAGTTACTTGATTTTATTACATTTAACTAATATGCAAAAGCATTCCTTGAGGTTTAGCTTTGGAAATAGACAGTATATTGAATAAGCAATGTTTATGCTATTCATTAATATGCAAAAAAACACCTCTAGTTGTGCTTTGTACTCTGTGGTGTACACACATAACTAAGCAATGACATAGGTACAGAGGATGTTTTAATAAGATGCCAGTTATAAACCATGCCTACAGCATGTCCTCCCCTTGCCCAGACAGGTATGATTTCCTTCTTGGCGAGCTGCCAATCACTGGCCTAACTAGGCCCTGTCCTTCAACATGTCCAAAGGTTACTGTGAGCACCACTCCAGTAAAATCTGCCTCCTGGTGTGACGTGGGAGTTCAGTAACTACCTGTATCCCCTACCGAGACCAGGAACAGGTAAGGAGCCACTAAGAGACTATGCAACATGGCCATTGAGAGTTCATATGCAAGCAGCTGACTGGCACAGAATAATGGAAAATGTAGTCTATCAACAACCAGAAGACCACACAACACTTTCTAAATTTGTGTAGTCTACCACAACTCTATAAACTGAGGGGGAAGACACCCTTTCGCACTGTAGATTTTGTGGACTGCATCTCCCCTGTTGATTTGCCAGCATTAAGGCTGTTAGAGCATTATGGGAGATGTAGTCAATAATATATGTGATGAAGTTTGCCTGTGCCTGCTATAAACCCTGTTTAAGAATACTGTTATGTACCAGACTCCTTTCCAAACTAGCCTGTGTATCCTACCAGATATGAAAATGTTTCTAATTAACTTTTAATTAACCAATGTTTTATATCACTAGCCAATATATTGTTGCCCTTATAACCTTGTATCGATCCTTTGATAGTTATGCTTGAATAGTCTGTCTAAATGTAAAAACTTAACGTGCAAGTATACATTCCTAAAATCACATTACTGTACATCACATATCATATACACAAGGAATTGCAAACCAAAGCCACAATTACTTATTTAGATAAATGATTCATTAAATGATTCACGTTATATAAATAATGCATTATTTTCATAAATTATAAATAAGAACAATATACATATTTATTGAGATTGAAAACTACACAAACATATTCTTTCTATTTCCTATTATGACAGTTTCAAAGCAAGGGATATATTTATTTGCACTTGTTATACTTGTAACATTTGAGAGCTGGTTTAGAATGCACATGGCCTCAATGTTGTGCGATTATTAAAAATTGCTTCCAGAAATTATATCACTACTGGAGATAATTAGCTTTGAACACTTACAAAAATCCACACTGACTGTGATTTTTGTTCGGCAACAGTATTTTTTTCAGAGTGTTCCAGCAATGGAACTCTATATGACCCATTGTAACAGTTCTGGAGTACAAAGGGTTCATGAAGAAGTAGATCTGCCCTAAATCTATTTAAAAAAAAAAAAAATTGCACTTCAAAAAATAAAAAGTCTGAGGAAGGTTTTGCCAGATGTTTGCTAGAATGCAAGCTTAAGGTAAGATCATTTCACTGACTTTCTCTCATTACTTTTATAGAAAATTTCATTTAAAAAAATACATCTTGTCAAATCCAGATGTTCAGTGATTAATTGGAGAGAGTGAAGTCGAGGGAAGAAATCCTGCTTTCTTTAGGGATAGGAGGGGCGTTGAATGTTGTCGGCCCCTCTAGCACATACTTTGACAATGTACTTTTGGGGCCATTTATCACAGTTTGAAATGACAAATTCCATGCAAAACTTGTAGAAAACAAAGTAAGTTCATTATTAAAAACCTTATTCTTGAATCGTATACTTGCACCTGAATCTTTAACCTGTAGATTCTGAAATGTCTCTATAGAACAATGCAGAGAGGTCACCAACCACCAAAATAAAATGTATAAATAGCAATGATTTTATATACTTTATGTCAGCTTACTTTATTGCCTCTAATAAGTAAAAATGTGCAAACTTACATAATATACACCCTCATGAGGGCCAACTTGTATTTTTCTTAAACGGTGTAGTCTTTTAGAAATATTATTTAATGTAATTTTATAGAAAAGTATGTTTGGTCTATTATTGTTATGTTCTACTAAAAGCGACATCACCTATTTCAGGATACGGCATTATATTTCAGAAGCTACTCCTAAAGCCTACCGTGTTGAGCTCTTAACGGGAAATCTTGCTTAGTCTTTTATCTTTAAGACAGAAAGTAATATTAAAACTATTAACAGAATGGCCAAGGCTAGATTATATAATGGATATCTTGGGTCTTTGTATTGAAACAGGTGGATACAAGCATTTGACTTATTTATGTCTGTCTGTAGTAGGGAGTCCTGGAACCCAATTCAGGATATCAGTGGCTCAGGAGAACATAAAAATAAGTATCCAAAAACACTATCTGGGAGGGATAAGTCAAAGGCTTGTTCAGACATAGCAGAAGGTCAGGGTAGGCAGCAAAGGTTTTTTTTTAAACATTAGTTGAATATAATTAAGTAGATACTTACAAAAAATGTGTCATTTTCCATATTTTGTAATGGAACTTCATTAACTTTTCAGGATACTCACCTCCTATCCAACCGTTCAGTGCCATGAAGTCGCTCTCTTTGAAAAGGTCTCTGATGGCTTTCCTAAAGACTGGCACACACCTTTGCTGACATTGATGTACTGGCTTCATTGACAGCACATCTGTTCAGCTGAACAGCGTGATGTCTGGCGTCACTCCATCAACATCCAATGTCACTCCATATGATGTCCATGAAGGAAGGACTGGAGAACCAAAGAAACTGGGACAATGTAGAGAAGGTAGGGGGGCTTATACAGTAGACAGAATTGGCTTTGGGTCTATGCTGGTGTTCTGTCGGCCAGGGGTGGTAGAGCTAGTTTTTTAATTGAAAATTTCACAAAATCTAAACATTTACTAGTGATTTTGCTAGCACAATGCATAGATGAAATTGCCTGCAGAATCAAAATATGGAAAGTCAAAGTCAGAGTACAGGTATCCTTAAGTGATAATGAAGTTCCATGGAGTCAAGGACAATAATTAGCTGGGGGACAATATGGAAGGTAGCAATGAGCATATAGTCTTCTGGTGTTTTATAATAGCTTGTATGGAGGTCAGGGCAGGAGAGCATCATTCTATGTATTTCAGGAATTTTGCAAAAAATTACTTCAATAAAAAGGCACATGGTGTCCAACTTCCGTCAAGCACTGGATTGTGGAGTAAGTCTCAATTTTTCTGATAGTGTTATATGGTGGTTGAATGGTTATTTTTTGTTGTTGTAACTTACATATTTAAAATGTTGCCTTTTAAAAGACAGATTTTAGATTCCCCCAATAAGTAGAGTGATTCAGTAATGAAATTAAAGGGACGCTATAGGCACCCAGACCACTTCAACTCATTAAAGTGGTCTGAGGTCTATGTCCATATTGTCCTTAGTGCTGCAATGTCTCCTTCGCATACAGTTGATCAGGTTGTTGATTGTGGCCTGTGGAATGGTGGTCCACTCCCCTTCAATTTCTATGTGAAGTTGCTGGATATTGGCAGGACTTGGAACACGCTGTCGTATACGCCGATCCAGACCATTCCAAACATGCTCAATGGGTGACATGCCCTGTGCGCATGCTGGCCATGCAAAAACTGGGATGTTTTCAGCTTCCAGGAATTGTGTACAGATCCTTGCAACATGGGGCCGTGCATTATCACGCTGCACCATGAGGTGATGGTCGTGGATGAATAGCACAACAATGGGCCTCAGGATCTCATCACAGTATTTCTGTGCATTCAAAATGCCATCAATAAAATGCACTTGTGTTTGTTGTCCATAACATACGTCTGCCCATACCATAAACCCACCGCCACCATGGACCACTTGATCCACAACATTGACATCAGCAAACCACTCACCCACATGACGCCATACACACTTTCTGCCATCTACCCTGTACAGTGAAATCCGTGATTCATCCGAGAAGAGAACACCTCTCCAAAGTGCAAGACGCCATCGAATGTGAGCATTTGCCCACTCAAGTCGGTTACGATGACGAACTGCAGTCAAGTAGAGACCATGATGAGGATGACGAGCATGCAGATGAGCTTCCCTGAGATGGTTTCTGACAGTTTGTACAAATATTCTTTGGTTATGCAAACCGATTGTTGCAGCAGCTGTCCGGGTGGCTAGTCTCAGATGATCTTGGAGGTGAAGATGCTGGATGTGGAGGTCCTGGGCTGGTGTGATTACATTTGGTTTTCGGTTGTGAGGCTGGTTGGATGTACTGCCAAATTCTCTGAAATGCCTTTTGGGATGGCTTATGGTAGAGAAATGAACATTCAATTCAAGGGCAACAGCTCTGGTGGACATTCCTGCAGTCAGCACGCCAATTGCGTGCTCCCTCAAAACTTGCAACATCTGTGGCATTGTGCTGTGTGATAAAACTACACATTTTAAAGTGGCCTTTTTTTGTGGCCAGCCTAAGGCACACCTGTGCAATTATCATGCTGTCTAATCAGCATCTTGATATGCCACACCTGTGAGTTGGAAGGATTATCTCGGCAAAGGAGAAGTGCTCACTAACTCAGATTTGTGAACAATATTTTGTGTACAGTGAAAAAGTCTTAGATCTTTGAGTTCAGCTCATGAAAAATGGGGGACAAAAACATGTACGTGTTGCGTAAGTAATTTTGTTCAGTTTATGTGTGTATGTATATTGTTTATATATTGTATTTTTTGTAATATTGTATCCTATTGTAACAATGCAATATTTTGTGGACCTAGGGCATGTTTGAAAATGAGATAAATCTCAATGTATCCATCCTGGTAAAATATTTTATAAATAAATAAATACAAATCTTAAAGGCAAATACACAAGTTCCTATTAACCCTAAGTATAAACATATGTTCCTCTTAACCTTAAGTCTCCTCTAATGCTAAATACCCCCAAGGTAAGCTATTCTTAATCTACACAGTGAGGTACACTGCTTACCCTGCATGTAGCTTTTCATTTTGCAGGGTTTAACGGCACTGCTGTGCCATAAATGCAGTGTGATTTTTAAGTAGTCTTTTTTTTTTTCCTGCAACTTTTTTAACTTTCCAAAATACTCGGATACGGAAGTCCAGATGCTCTGGGGTTCACTGCTCAACAGTTTCTAAACTTCTTTCTGATTCTGTCAAGAAACATTCTCATCTGCTTGGCTCAAAAGAGGATAATGTGTTAGTCATGTCATTCTAACCCATAAAGGTTTAAATCAGGCTTCCCCAAACTCTGACCCTCCAGATGTTGCTGAACTACAACTCCCTTGATTCTCAGCCTATTTCATTCATAGAATCATGGGAGTTGTAGTTCAGCAACATCTGGAGGGCCAGAGTTTGTGGAAACCTGGTTGAAATGATAACCTGAATAGAGTAAGATAAAGCACAGTTTAATTTCTTGGGGAAACTAAGATCTTTAAAGACAAATCACCCAATACAAATTAAACACCATTAGTATTATCTTTAAAATATAAATATTTTTAAAGTTTATTTAAAAAGCACAAATAAACTCTGAGTTCTGGATTCATCCAGTAAAAGGGATAATGAACCAAATTTAGCTTCAAAGCCGGATGCCAGCTGACACATTTGTTTTTGAGAGCCTTTCCCGCGAGCTAAAACGTCTTTCTGACAATTAATTTGCATGAATAGGATGTTTCCCTTAAAATAAAATATTTTTCAGGTTTTTTATTTTATTTTTTATTTTTATTATGAGCTGTCTGATAGCTAGCACTAACACGAGTTTTAACCTCACAGATGGCTAAACAACCATTATGCAACATCTCTAGTAACCCATTAGTTAATCTTTAGCAAGAGGAAATATATTTTATTCTTTGATTCTGTACAATTTTCCTCTTAATATACTGAAATATTACACAGCAGTTTTTGTTTTCTCTCCATTAATCTTAATCTTTGAAAATTATTTTCTTAACAACTGTTTCTGTAAAACCGTGTAAAATGCTGAAATCACTGCCGTTATATGCAAGTTTTACAGCTGAAATGAAGCTATTGCTACAGGAACAAATTAACAACTGCAAACGACCGCAGTGTAGATGCGTTAAATCTCAAAAGCAATGTGACATTTAATGTTCACTGTGTATCTGTAAGAAAGCCTAAGCATTTTTAATTATTGCAAAAGAGGGTAAAAACATTTTATCATGTATACTACTGTTTATTGTAACTTTAGTATTTGGCAAAATTAGCATAAAGAAACCTCCTTTATCACAAACTGTTTCCAAATGGCAATATAGAAGATCATTTGAGCAGTTATTTAGAGAATTTCATTTTTAAAACTATTTGCTCACTTTATAGTAAAATTAATGTGTAGATTCATGTGTAGATTCATTTCTGCAGGTAACTGGTACTTTCCTGTAAGTATTTGGTGTGTAATTCAATTAAATATGAAATTTGGATAATTAAATCTAAATTAATAAACTGAGATTAAAACAGTCTCAGTTATAACTAAGTTGGAGCATTTTTACAGATTATTCAATTTTGCCTAAATGTTGCCATCCGGATCTAATGTAGAAACATAGAAACATAGAATGTGATGGCAGATAAGAACCATTCGGCCCATCTAGACTGCCCAATTTTCTCAATACTTTATTTAGTGCCTGGCCTTATCTTATAGTTAGTTACATAGTTACGTAGTTACATAGATGAAAAGAGACTTGCGTCCATCAAGTTCAGCCTTTCTCACATTAGTTTTTTGCTGTTGATCCAAAAGAAGGCAAAAAAACCCAGTTTAAAGCACAATTTTGCAACAAGCTAGGAAAAAAATTCCTTCTTGACCCCAGAATGGCAGTCAGATGTATCCTTGGATCAAGCAGTTATTACCCTACATTGAAAGATTATATCCCTGAATATTCTGTTTTTGCAAGTATGCATCTAGTAGCTGTTTGAACATCTGTATGGACTCTGATAAAACCACTTCTTCAGGCAGAGAATTCCACATCCTGATTGTTCTTACAGTAAAAAAACCTTTCCTTTGCCTTAGACGAAATCTTCTTTCTTCCAGTCTAAACGCATGGCCTTGTGTCCTATGTAAAGTCCGGTTTGTGAATAGATTTCCACACAATGGTTTGTATTGGCCCCGAATATATTTGTATAATGTTATCATATCCCCTCTCAGGCGACGTTTTTCTAAACTAAATAGGTTTAAATTTGTTAACCTTTCTTCATAGCTGATATGTTCCATTCCTTTTATTAATTTTGTAGCCCGCCTCTGAACTTTTTCTAGTGCCATAATATCCTTCTTTAGAACAGGTGCCCGAAATTGCACAGCATATTCAATATGGGGTCTTACCAGTGATTTATAAAGAGGCAAAATGATATTCTCGTCCCAAGAATGAATGCTCTTTTTCATGCATGACAATACCTTACTGGCCTTGGCCACTGCTATAACAATTCCCAAGTCCTTTTTGTGTGTTGTTATCCCTAATTTGTTTCCATTAAGGGTATACGTTGCTTGTGTATTCTTTACGCCGAAGTGCATAATTTTGCATTTTTCAACATTAAATTTTATCTGCCATTTGAGTGCCCAGTCCCCCAGTCTATCTAAATCCCTCTGCAGCAAAGTAATATCTTGCTCACATTGTATTATTTTACAAAGTTTTGTGTCATCTGCAAACACTGAAACATGACTTTCAATGTTGTCATCAAGATCATTTATAAACATGTTAAGGAACAGACCCCTGAGGGACACCACTTGCCACCTCTGTCCAGCTTGAAAATTTACCATAAATGACAACTCTTTGTACTCTGTTTTTAAGCTAATTTTCTACCCAAGAACAAGCATTTTCATTTAGACCGATTTCCTTGAGTTTGAACACTAATCTATTGTGTGGAACTGTATCAAATGCCTTGGCAAAATCCAAATAGATCACATCCACGGCAACACCCTGATCTATACTTCTACTTACTTCTTCGTAGAACACAATCAAGTTAGTTTGACATGACCTGTGCTTCATAAAACCGTGATAATTTTTGCTGATAACCATGTCTATCCCACACATGCTTAAACTCCTTTACTGTGTTAACCTCTACCACGTCAGCTGGAAGGCTATTCCATGCATCCACTACCCTTTCAGTAAAGTAATACTTCCTGATATTATTTTTAAACCTTTGTCCCTCTAATTTATGACTATGTCCTCTTGTTGTGGTAGTTTTTCTTCTTTTAAATATAGTCTCCTCCTTTACTGTGTTGATTCCCTTTATGTATTTAAATGTTTCTATCATATCCCCCCTGTCTCGTCTTTCCTCCAAGCTATACATGTTAAGATCCTTTAACCTTTCCTGGTAAGATTTATCCCGCAATCCATGAACCAGTTTAGTAGCCCTTCTCTGAACCCTCTCTAAGGTATCAATATCCTTCTGAAGATACGGTCTCCAGTACTGTGTACAATACTCCAAGTGAGGTCTCACCAGTGTTCTGTACAATGGCATGAGCACTTCCCTCTTTCTACTGCTAATACCTCTCCCTATACAACCAAGCATTCTGCTAGCATTTCCTGCTGCTCAATTACATTGTCTGCCTACCTTTAAGTCATCAGAAATAATGTGCTACAATTACAGTTTTCATAAATGACCCCCATAGTGGTTGTTCACTAAAGGAGGTTAGGTGTATTAACCAAAATAAAATTATCAAAATAGCAAAGTTATGAAATTAACTTTTAGATTTTTTTCCAGTTTTTGTACTTTGGTGAGTATTTTGCAATTATTGTCTTGATACTCCAAAGCTCCAAGTTTAAAGAAACACTATAGGGTCAGGAACAAAAACATTTATTCCTGGCCCTATAGTGTTAAAACCACCATCTAGCCCCCCTGCCTCAACCTCCCCACCTTCCTAAATATAGCAAAATATTACTTTTATTTCAGTCTGCTGCTGCTGACTTTTCTCCTGATCTGCCTGATTGGCTGACATCATCAGAAGTGGTAAACTCAGCCAATCACAATACTTTCCCATAGGATTGGCTGAGACTATCAAGGAGCAGATCAGGGGCAGAGCCAGCACAAGAGTCAACACAAGTCAAACACAGCTCTGGCCAATCAGCATCTCCTCATAGAAATGCATTAAATCAATGCATCTTCATGAGGAAAGTTCAGTGTCTCCATGCAGAGGGTGAAGACACTGAATGTCAGTCACACTGTGCAGCACTGCCCCAGGAAACACCTCTTGTAACCATCTGATGAGTAGCCAATGGAGCTATCCCTACGCTGAAATGTAAACATTGCCTTTTCTCTGCAAAAAGCCTGAAGGGAACAATTCTACTCACCAAAACAAATAGCGGCAGTTGTTCTGGTGACTATAGTGTCCCTTTAATCTCAATGTTCCCAAGGTTATTCACACCCTTTGAACTACGTAACCCGACTTGACATGCAACATTGAATTCAGTCCATACCCTAAAAATATATTTGTGTAACAATAGACACTTCTATAAAAGCTACGTGTAGCCTTTCCCTACTTCTTTAATATTTCCTTTATATGATATATATGGCGGTAAAAAAAAACTGAGATACACATACATATGTCTAAAAGTACCAATGTATTTATTTCTGTTCTTTTTTTATTGATATATAAGACAGCATAATAGAAGATATAGTGAATATGCATTACCCATCCATATGCTCTCATTTCAACCATCATTCTTCCTTTATATTAATTCTCTATAATTTTGAGAGAAAGCAGAAATTGATAAATATATGAATAAATAAATTATAATTTTCAACTGCAAAATGTACATTTCTGTATATCATGAAATACATGTACATATATTTTTCATGCATGCCATATTATATTTTTACATTACTTACTCTTGTATCTTTAGAAGTTGAGCATGTCTTGTTTGCTTCATATGCACACACTGTATATGACATCAACAACAGAATTTAGAGTGATAGTGTTTAAAAGAAACCAGTCCTATACGGACATGGATATACCCGTAATATCTGATAAAGTGATTTTGTAAATGCGGAAGGTTTTTTTTTTAAAAAAAACATATCAGAATTAACCAAAATCAATTGAATCCACTGCTTACAATTTAAAGATATAAAGAAATGAACTTTCTTTTCTAAGATGGGTAATGTTGCCATTGAGATATGGACTTGTAACGGATGATGCTAAAGCAGGAGGTTGTTTTAAACAATCTGAATACATTTTTAGAATGAACACATTGAAAATAGTATGATTTCTGTGTCAAACACATATATTAAATCTAATAACTTCCCTTTCAGCTATTAAATGTATAAGATACACCATTAATAATCTGTTATGGCCCATCAAAATAATATTTAATATTCATATGACAGCACAGTCTCTGCATACAGCAATCCACATTTCCAGCATTAGACACATAATTAGTAAACATTAAAAGTATCATATCCTGGAGTCTGTTTCAAAGCCTAATGATGTTTTATTAAATTTGTTCATCTTAATATGTGTAGGCCAGAGACATTGCAATGTGTTATTTGCATTTTATTGCATCTTTATTCACCGTCCAGTTTTGCAGTGTAGAGATGTGGAAAACCTACGAGTTTGCTTCATAAATATTTATGTTAGGTCCTGTTAATCAAGACAAAACATGGATTGAGCCATAGATATATTAACCCCTTAAGGACACAACTTCTGGAATAAAAGGGAATCATGACGGAATATTTCCGTCATGTGTCCTTAAGGGTTAAAAAAAAGAAGAAAAAAAAAATTGGTCATCTTTCCTTGGCATTATAAAATCATAGACTGATTTTTATTATTTGTTCTTTGCAATAGCCTTATATAGTGTCAGGACTTTAGCTCCTAGTAATAGGTTGCCCAGTGGACACATAGGTCATGCACCGGAGCTACTGTTGGGCAGTGCCAGTGCAGGAGCCTATTACCAGCATTAATGAAAGACCAGGAACTACTACTGGGAAGATATGGGGAAGTTCTGTCAAAACAGTATTATACTTATTATTGTACTAGAAATATCTTATTAAGATTTGTTGTTGAAGTAACAGGCCCGATAACAACCTTAACTCATTAAGTAGTCAGTGGGTGGCCAGTGATAGACAAGAGCATCAAGTGATGTTCTCAGCCTATTGCCAGTTGCATAACAACACTTTCTTCATAGTGGGGTGGCCAAGAGGAGGCAGGTCATCATTCAGTGATTCTGGGTGCCAGAGACCGATGTTAAATCATTGGAAAATGTTTAGATGCCTGCCATTAAGAAAGCACCTTGATGCTCCTGCTTCAATAACAACTTCAATAGGTCGAAGTTGTCATGGATATGGGAGGGTTCCCTTAATTTTGATATTTGTCCTTAAAGGTGTTGTATCACTTGTGTTATTTTCATTATTTCTTCTATGCAATTTGTCATTTAAAAACCAGTGTGCCTGAATTTATTGATATAAATGTCTTTTCCCAGACTCTCTTTTCCAAGGCACCGATTTGAAGATGTTCAGTTACTATTCTACTATCGATGGTCTGTATTCTGTTACAAAAGATAACTGTAACTCTGCTTACTGAATAGCAGTTCTTTTGACTACTATGGGAAAATCATTATTGAATTACGAGAGATATGTTTAAAGTATAATCTATTCTCATAACTGATATTAAAAATTGTTACATTTTTAAACTTGTTTTACTATGTGATAAGAAATGTTATCTGTACCTAGCCATAAAAGTGGTGACAATACTTTGGTATCTAACTATCACCCGATATCATTGCTCCCGGTATTGTCAAAAATCTTGGAAAATGCGTCCACACGCAACTATGTGACTATTATCAACGATCAAATTATCTGACGCCTGATCAGTCATGCTTTTGTCCAAATCACTCAACTTCGACTGCCCTCTTAAAAGTTTGCAATGACATCCAAATTGGCATGGAACAAGGAGACTTAACTGGAACTATTTTCCTTGATTTTGCCAAGGCCTTTGACACAGTAGACCATGGCATTCTTTTGCAAAAACTTAAAAATTCAGGCATTGGTGATGTCTGCTAACCTGGTTTAGATCGTATGTTTCAGACCGATTGCAATATGTGGCCATTTCTGATAGCGCTTACCTCCCTCTTCCATTCACGTGTGGTGTTCCCCAAGGCTCCATACTCGGCCCCCTGCTATTCACATTATTTATAAATGATCTGCCTAATGTCTGCAAATCCTCAACTGTACACATGTATGCAGATGACACTGTACTCTACGCTAGTAAACCCAAGCTACCGCAGCTTGAGGCTAAAATTCACAGAGGTAGAAACGTGGATAGTGGATAACAAACTCTTCCTAAACACTGACAAAACTGATATTTGGAGTCTGACTGCTATTTTGGGGTCAAGAAGGAATTTCTTTCTAGTTTGTTGCAAAATTGGAAGCGCTTCAGACTAGGTTTGTTTGCCTTCTTCGGATCAACAGCAAAAACATAGGAGGAAGGCTGAACTTGATGGACGCAAGTCTCTTTTTAGCTATGTAACTATGTAACTATGTAACATAAACAACAAAATCAACAACTGCGTATCAGAACAAATTCAAATAGCACACTGACAGCAGTCTGCTCTTTTAAATATCTAGGTATGTTGCTAGACCCCAATCTATCCTTTGGCCTTCACATTGAAAAAATCTCTTCAAAACGTTACTCAAAACAAAGGCCCTGTACAGAAACAAATCCTGCCTAAGCCCTACAGGAAGGAAACATATGCTAATGCTAATGCCGGTCATTGATTATGGGGATGTAGTGTATGCACCTGCATCGCAAACCCACCTTAATAAACTTAATACGTTATATAATTTATGCTGCCCCTTTGTACTACAATGTAATTACTTTACCCACCACTGTGACATGTTAAAAGAGCTAAACTGGCTGTAGCTGGAATCCTGACGCACCCTTCATCTTTCCAGCCTTGTGCATAAGACCATTTCTGGGAAGCTCCCACCCTATCTGAGTAGAATGCTCTCCCCTGCTGTCCCCACTTCCTAAAACCTCCGATCCAATACTAGCACGATATTTAGCATACCACAATACAAAAATAAAGTGACTCGACCCTCCTTTTCCTACAGAGCACCGCAATTATGGAATAACCTCAGGGACACAGTCAAATCTTCATTCAGTCTAAAATCTTTTAAGAGATCTATGGCAATATACCTCAGCACAAAATGCACCTGTCATGGTTGAATATATTTTTTAACTGTTATGCATTAAATTTATATATGTGTGTATGTATATATATATTTATAGTTTGTATATTGTTTTTTTGTAATATTGTATCCTATTGTAACAATGTAATGTTTTGCGGACAAAGACCTAGGACATACTTGAAAACTAGAGAAATCTCAATGTATCCATTCTGGTAAAATATTTTATAAATAAATAATTTTTCGAACATTTGATTAGAAGACTGGCTATTTTTGTCATATTTAAGGAAATAGGTTTATGTTGCAATTCAGAAATAAGAAACACTGAAAGGCTGAATTTGATGAATGTGCATGATTAAATCTAAATGATATAACTAAAGTGTATGCAGACATATTTTATAAAGATAATTTGTTGTAAAAAAAAATAGAGTAATATTCAGAAAGGGGTTATACTAATTATGTTTTAAGGGGCTCTCATCCTGCATTATAAGAAAGCTATTCTGGCATTAATTATCAAAATAAAATCCTGTTTTCCAAAATGTGTTACTTTAGACACCATTAGCTTCCTGGTAAGTAAATCATTGAATGGTAAATTAAGGAAATATGTCATGGCATATTGTCATCCCACCTGGACTAAAATATATTAGCATTTTTTCTACATGCATTTCAACTAGCGTTATGTTGAAGTATTTCAGAACCACAAAAAAAAAGAAATGATAGGGTATAATGCAATCCGGAATGTAGAAGGTACACCTAAACATGTTTTCAGATGGTAAATCTTATTACCATAACAAGGTACTATGGCTTCACTTGGTAAGCATCACTGCAGAGTGAAGCATTTTTTAGGAGTTCATTGCCATTTACAGTTTCTCTACAAAGATTCAATGAGAGAGTATTCAGCGGTGGCAGATAAATTAATTCCTGTGCAATGTGAATACGAACTCTGGATCAAAGAGGAAGGTGAGTAAAACTTAATGGACTAGATTTTCTTTTACTTTGTTATGCACCGCAACATGAACGTGGGGACATCTATACATGTTGTTGGGAAAGAAAGGGCTAAAAGTGACAATATTAAGGGGACAATAATTTACAAATCATGGTTTGTGCTCAATTCTCATCATGAGAATCAATTTAGAAATGCTTCTCAAAAATATGTTTGTGGAGTGTACTGTATTAAAGCAATATCACAGTTTAGTTTGAACCCTCCATTTAATGTAATAGTTACATCATATATTATATTATATTATACCTTAATTATTTCTGAGTTTTAATAAAGCAGATTATCAGGCGCTGATCTCTAAGGTCATTTCAATATTCATCATATAACTACACCTAGTGTGTAGGAAGCAGTGGTACAGGGGTGGAATAATCACCATAAATAATTTCAGGAGCGTTGTAAATGGAGAGATGGCCTCCAGTTATGGAAGGTCACACCGACGGGTTCTTATTAACCCCTTAAGGACCAAACTTCTGGAATAAAAGGGAATCATGACATGTCACACGTCATGTGTCCTTAAGGGGTTAAACAGTGCAATGACCAGTTCTAAGGAAAATATAGATTGTCCTGTGCATATATTATACAAAAGCATTATAGAGCTCTATCGTGCACTACCTAATGTTGTTGAGATGATGCGGTCACATAATCTAGTCCTTATTTTTGTGTACTTATTACATTTACCTACAATAAACTTAATTTCTTCTTCTTCCTAGGTTGTTGCTGTCCCATGTCCCCACAAAGACTCCTCAAGAAATAGACCCTACTATAATTATAATTATTATTATTATTTTACTATTAATATAGCGCAAGCAAATTCCTAGCTTGACATTTTCGTTTAATCCTTGCAATTCTGGTTTTGTATATTGGCATTTAATGCCAAGTCTCTTTTTTTTTCTGCTAATCAGAGAAGAAAAACGAATTATGTTGTAGTCTAATTTGTCATGCTACTTTACGGAGTTTAAAGTTAAAAACTTTAAGCACAATGCAGAACAATGTTCTATACAGCATCGAGGCAAGCCTATTGAACGACACAACAACGAAGCCACACTAGTGATAAAGCCGGCACAATTCTTCTTTATATTTATCCATTTTACCATCAACATTCTAAGACATAATTTTACTGCAAAGAAAGAGCATGCAAGTCTCACCATTGTGTTATTATCCAGGATCTATTATGTTTTACATTTTATAAAAATCTTTATGTTAGATCTTTGACATTTTACTGCCTGGAAAGATATACACCCCCCGATGGGAGGCTTTGATGTGCATTTTGTGGATTAAATAATCTGAGTGGAAAGCAATGAGTTTCAAGCCAAGAAGGGAACTGTGGAGGAAATTTTACCTCCTGCAGTGTAAGACGCCGACAGACAGTACCTTTAGCTCACCCTCTAAATTTAATTTCATACATATTTACTGAATATTTTCCTTCCTACTGCTAATTCTTTTGAGACCAAATTAAGAACAAAGATCGCACAAACTGGCTTCATCAAATAAAAATGTAAATATTCTGCATATCATTAGTAGTTCAAAAATGTTATTTAAATATTTTGCAAAATGCAATAGCTTTGCTGTAATATTTCTTGCAAGTGAAAAGGAGGAATAAGTTCCTTTTCTCAGAGCAGCCCACGGAGGTTTCAGTCTGTTTATTCAAACCTCTGGAATCTGGAACATTTCAGAATGGATCAAATAATCAGGTGTCTGACGAGGACTGAATTTTTATTAAGCGACAATGACCTTGTGTTTCCATCTAAAGAAAACATAATCATTTTGTTTAAAACTATCTATGCATGAACATGCCTAATTTCAGTAAATAAATGCTGTTTTCCTCTATGCGACCTATTTATATCAGTTAAACAAATTACTAAGAAATTGCTTAAAATGTAATAATAAAAATATATACAATAGCATGAACATTCTATTATAAGAGGAGTTATTGGGTTTATGCACTATATCAACTTAATTTCCAATTTTTATTTAATAAGAGTAGTTTTATACATAAATGCATTATTTGCAAAAAATACTATTAAACATAATAAAGGGAAACATGATGGGGAAAAAATAACAAAGAAATAAGAAAAAATAGAAAAAAACCAATAAATAAACACAAATGGAGTGTAAATGAAGACTTAGCTTTGGTCAAAGTTGAGTATACAATTTACTTGTCAAGAGTATGCAGTATGTTGACCAATATTTAAAGGCAGACAATATAATGTGACTGCACATGGAATACTGTATTAGCTCTAAAATGGTAGCTAGTGCATAGAGTGACATGAATTGTCTAAATGTAGGATATCCAAAGTATAGGCATGCAATGATAGGCATGTAATTTATCAGCTCTCAATCGTCTTGAGATCATTTGCTGGATCTTTCATGGTCAAAAGAAGGTCCTGGTGACTGTTTCATAACTTTGTTGCCCCTCAGTGATCAGTGTTGTTTTTCTCATTTAGATCTAACGATACGATTTCTCAGATATTATTATCAGAACATTCAGAGAATATTTGAATTTTGCACAGGAAATTAGGATACATTTCCAAAGTCAATTTTCGGGCAGTGAAAATATTTAAATGATTTTGCTGACATAGTGTGATTGTTTTAATTAGTGAAAAGAAATTATGGTGAATGCATTCAAAGAAAAATAAATAAAATAATAAATATTACACTCTAGGCACCAATACAATGTTAATGCATTCTGTGACATTTAGTCTAAATAATTAGCTGCATTGTTTTTTGCACTCCAAATTTTAGTTTAGTTTATGCAATAAAATAAATCTATTGCAACATTCTATATTCTGCCTGAGCACTTCAGAAGAGGCATGGCTGGTGGGTTGGTCAAAGTGGGCAAGGTCTATGAGTTTAGCGAGAACAGTTTAGTAGACTTGCCTTTTTTGAAGACTTGCTGAGTATTCCCCCATTTCTTAAAACCTGTAGGGAAGTGGAGGTTTCCTCCTTTACCCTCCCACTTCTTTTGTACTGATAGTTTATCTGTCCAGGATTTCATTAGAAGCTTTATTAGCAGCTTACCAGAATCGTCATGGTCTCACTTCGCTACAGGAACTTTTCACTGGGGTCCCCACAAATACTGTGGTCATGAAGAGAAGTGAAATAGAATGTTTGGAGAGCAGGTTGAGATCTCAGTAGAGGTCTAGCAGCAGGGATGCCATCAGAGGCTTCCTCCAAGCCTGCCCTTAGGGCCTGCCTCCAGCCCACCCACAGGGCCTGCCTGCTTCCAGCCCACCCTCAAAGATGCAGTGTGTGTAGAGTGGATACAGAGTTTGTGCTTGTATAGTGAATGCAGTGTGTGTGTGTAGTGGATGCATTGTGTCTATATATTTTTTTAAAAAAAAAACTAATAAAATCTTTCAACTTTGAAGTTGCTGTTTAGTGGATAGGTGAGTGCGCTGGATCTTGTGTTTTGTATTATTTGGCCCCAGCAGCACCCCCATTTATGCATGTTCAGGTGAGTGCAGCCAACCCCCCCTTGTTTCATATGTATATATTTGGGAGTCTAGCCAACTCCTTGGTTTTGCACCCCTCCCTGTCACAGGTGCCTCATCCCAGGGCCCTATTTAGCCTTGTACTGCAGAGAGCCCCAGATGGAATTTTTTTCCTCAAGTAAGTGGTTAATCTCATAAGAGCAGACATTAGGCTGTTAGTGTAGGACCTGCCAAAGATGGGGTACATTGACGTTGTGGCAGGCTTATGCAATGTATGATCATATAATGTAACTAAACCCCCATTATTTTTGCCTAGATTAGGTGTTTTTAAAAAAACTAATAAAATCTTTCAACTTTGAAGTTGCTGTTTAGTGGATAGGTGAGTGCGCTGGATCTTGTGTTTTATATATATATATATATATATATATACACATATGTGTATATATATATATATATATATATATATACATACACACACATATATATATATATATATATATATATATACACACACACATATACACAATGTGTGTTTGAATGTAAGCATGTTTTTGTATGGAGTATGTGTGTGAATGTTGATGTTTGAATGCAATTGTGCATTTGTGTGTAGTGCATACACTTCCACACACACTGACATACATACACATACAGATACACGAATACATAGTTACATAGGCTCTCAGACATACTTGCACATGTTACACATACAGAAACACACAAAGACACATAGTTACACACACAGATACACACACACATATACCCACACTGACACATACACAGACACTCAGTTACAGATTGACACAGAATACACACACACAGACACAAACACAGACACACAAATACAAACACAGACACAAAAGGACACATACATACACACACACACAGACATTCTGACATACAGACACACACACTGACACACAGATACACACAGACATACATACTCACAGACATACACACATACTGACACTCAGACACACATATTGACACAAAGACACACACACGCACACACACATAGAAGTCATTTTTTAACCACCCTCCTGTTTCTTACCTTTTGGGTGCAGGTGGGTCACTGGGGCTGTTGGGAGTCGGTCTGGCAGCTAGCAATCCCCTTCTCACTATCTTCCTCCCACGCGGAGCAAGCTGGCAGGAAACAACCGGATTTCATTCCTCCCAGCAAAGGCTGCTGCTGCCATTTTTAAAGGGGCCCGTTCTCGGTATTAAAGGGCCACAGCGCTGACTTCGGGCGGCCCATGAGCTTGTGAGCCCTGATGCATCTACAGATATAGAGAATGTTGGGCCCAGACGGCCCCAGGACCACCTGGCCCATGATGACCATTACCCCCTGATGGCAGTCTTGTCTAGCTGGATGACATCCAGGGCTGGATTAAACATAAGCCAACAGTAGGTGGTTGCCTAGGGCCAATGGGCTAGACAAGGGTCCCAGAACTATAAATTTGCTTAGCCCCATTAACAACTCCTGTATGAAGAATGAAAGGTAGGCCCCAAACTGGCAACCTGCTTAGGATCTTTTTCTGCCCCCATCTCATTTGTCCTTGTTTGAGCCAACTGAATCATTTGAGTGCTAATGTTTATGGCAGGGATAGTTGGAAGTGGTTGTCCCTAGCCTCTTCTTATGTTTTAGCAGGTGGGCGGTCAGGTGGTCAGGTTTCTCTGTGCTCAGAGCTGGTGAGGCCTAATTGCAAAATACCTCTGGGACTGCAAAGATATTGCACAGTCCGAGTTCTCCTCTTCTAGAGATATCGGAAGTTACATCAGTGGCATACTTCTGAATGGGTATTGACTGGGTTTAAAGGGGCTTTGGTGTTCTCAAAATTTGTTTCACTTAGTCTGTTTGTTCAGTGATCAGCTGTTTCAGTAATTCATAACGGTGGTAATGACATTGGGCATTGGGTTAGTACTATTGATTTAATTCATGCAATGAAATAAGATCTGGCACATTGCCACACTTTATTCAATCATCTTATTATGATATGCTCTGAAATAATTCCCAGGTCTGTTTAGAAGTCTTTCTCAAATTCAAAGGCTTTGAAGTGATGTATAAACAAGGTCAACATGACTGTATTTTGTTTTGTGCCATGCATTGGTAAATACTTGTTTTCATTGTGGTGGTTTTCTTAGCTAAAGTCACTCAGAAAATTGTCATCATTGCTTTATCCAAGCATGAGTTACAGTTTGCTAAATATCTGATAGCAGTGGGCTGACTACCACATGGTGGTATAAGGGGATTTATGGTGGTATATGGTAGTTATAAGGGGTAAACCTGTGGCCACTGTTCTATCCATATGTTGATGTTCTGTTATCAGTAATTAATGGGCTAGCAGGTGTTATTGGGTTTTATTGGGTTTATGGAATTGTGTGCATGTATTATGGCGGTGGCTGGCAGCCATGCATCTTAACTTAAGCTCCTCTCTAATAAAAAAAAAACAGTTTTGAGCAAAACTGAAGCTATGTCCTCTCCTGCACCCTTGCAGTGCAGGGTTAAACATATCAAACGGTTGAGACTCCAGAACAAGCAGGTTTTGATTGGCCAGGCTACTTCCTTGAGTGCACAAAATTTAAAGGCTAATGATGTAATGTGTCAGAATTTTCCCACAAACAAATTTTTTTTAAATGAATACTCTTTTTTTTTATTTATTGTTTTGCATTTGTTGTTTCAGCATACATGTCTAATGCATAATCTATACAATGCATTAATAAAAGATTTGGTCAGCTTCATCCCAGAGTTCCCCTTTAATTTTTAATATGCAATACTGGTCTTGCTGGAGAGGAATATGCCCTCTGCAACAAAAAGCATATCTTTACATATGTGTATATTGTTCATGAGAAATATTATTCATGAACTAATGTATTAATGTGCAAGCAATTTTTAAAAAGCATTCTTTATTGTCAACAAGTTTGGCTTGTAGTTATCCACAATTTACATATTGTAAAAATTATTATTTTATTAATGTATTCATATTCAAGTTAATATTAAGTTAATTTCTCATTAAGTACAGCAAATAATAATGTCATCTTTTTTAAAGACAGATAATATTTTTTAGAAGAAAATGCCCTCTGACTATTATATCTAAGATAAAATAAAGACTTAATAAATAACAAAACAAAAAAATAGAAAAAATAATTGAATTAAGTGTATATTTATTTTGCCTTTAATGTTCCTGATTGCGTATGTCAAAGCTTACATACTGTGTTAGAAATATTATAGGAAATCTAAGTTACACAAAGAAACATTTAATTTAACTACCAAGCTCTGCCCTGTGGCAGAGCTAATGGACAAAACATCAAATCCATCTATTTTAATTTATGAAAATTAAATGTTCTGCAGCCAAATGAAACAGTGTTC